AAGCTTAATGGCGGCAGCTTACCATTGTCGCAGCTACAGGAAGCCCACGCAGCTACAGGAAGCGATCCATGATCGTCTAGTTACTGTTGAAAGGGCACTTGTGATGTGAAACCAAACAAATTTTGCGTCGGGTTAAAGAATTAACATATTTTACCTTTTTAAAAAAACCTGTTTATCGAAGTCCACTTCTCCTTCCCCGCAAAGTCACACATTCTTCAATGTGTCATACTAGTACAAATATCGTAACAACAAAGTGTTATGATAATATCGATATTTTTTTGTTCATGGAAATAATGAAAAATGATCATGATTGATGGAGGAGTGTGAGAGTGAAGTTTTGGCCAAGTGTCAAACAAGTATAAATAGTAGTGACGTTTGTAGCTCGCGTGACTTGTCAGATAATATAGAACATTTATGCCCGGAAACATATATATGCCGTCTGTATGCTTACAGAAACTGAGACATCCCTGAATTTTCAGTTTATAAAGGTAAAAGCTAGTTTGTAGTTACCAAATTTAGATATCGAAACAAGCTCTCTGCCATAAATGATAAGCTAACATTATTCATTTTGCTTGTAACGATTTCAGGTTAAACTAACGTAAAAAAAAAACGTTCAGACGTACTAACGTATAGCAAGATTCAGAGCAAGTTTCGGTACTCAAATCGCTTTAGGATGGGCGGATTTCCAACTTCATTTCGTTTATGGGTTCTGTTTTGGCTTCTTTCTTTGTTTTTTATGAAAGGTAAGTAAGGCGTCATGTATTTATGTATTTATAATATTGACCCAAGATGGTTGGCGACTGCAACTTTTAAAATTGGATTTATTGATGCGGATACTTTTAATTAATACGATGTAAAACATTCGATGACCTCTTGAAAGCCATTTTATTTATGTCCAAACGCATCATCCCTATTAAAGCAAGACCAATGTTGCTTTAATTCATAAAATCACAGTAGACAGAATGAAGCGTTCAAACTCCTCCATTTGGATTGAATGCCAGGGGTGGGGGAGTAGAGAGGAGGAAGGAGGGAGGGGAGAGAGGGGGGGAATAATTCCCTGTATTTGCTATACGGGTGTTTTGTATGAGATAAGGTTTGATTTTGGAAAGTGTTACAATTTGGTCGTAGTCTAAGTAGGTTTTGGTCGGTTTTGTGGATGTGACGTAAGCTAGCAGTCAGGATTTTGGCAAATGACTGTATCAACCAAAACCGATTGACCACAATGTATATAGCTATTTCAAAAAAGGTTGTCGGATAAAATGGCGAATGTCAATGGTCGAACGGCGATTGCACGAACGAAAGCAACCAGGGTTTTTGTAGCTGAAAGGCAATAACAACTGATTTGTATTGTAAGATGGTCTGTGGTAAACATTGGCTCCATTTAGCTTCCATTTCTAAGTAAGGTGAATCCAATAAGTGAAATTTTGTTAATCAAAACAGTGTAACCATAGTCCCTTTTGGTCGTTCAATCTTCCTTCGACAATCGCCGTTCGTCGTTCTCCCCGACAAGGTTTTTTGAAATAGCTGTAATTTCCTAAACTTGTCTCTTAAAGCTTGAGTGATGTTTTTTTAATAAACTCCCTTTTAAGTTGTAAAACAACCCCTGGTACAATCTTCAGTCACAAAGGCGTTCTACTTTTCGGTGAACATCAAGATTCTTATGTTTTAGTAACAATTTTTTCAAAACAGTATATATTATATACATCATATTTCTTCTCTCCAATTCCTAGTTTCTATTCACTATTCAGTCTTTTATATCAGAAGCAATTATATCATGTAAATCAATTAATCCCAGTGTTTTCAATTCCATTTTCMTTGCCAACAAAGGGGCTGCTAATTCCTTATACATTATACACACCGATTGAATTAGTGTTAATCATATTTATGATTTTTAAAGATTTATATCAATTCTCTCTCACTAGTTTTATAATACATTATAACTTAGAAAAGTAATACCCTGGTAACATTGGGAGTACTTTACTAATAAAATTTTATTGTATTAGTGCTAAGTTTTCTTTTCCTTTATTCTACTGAAATACACTCTTTCGTAAGTCGTCTGTTCTTATATATATTTTATGTCCAAACGGACAGGAAAGCAGTGTACACCATATATACATGTAGGTTTACCCTAATATTAACCTTCACTATATGATTATCAAGATATGACGCGATGTCGTTTTGTTTAGTTTTCAGTATTCATTGCTACCATTGCGAGTCCACCGTATCTTGGAAAGACTGCGACGCCAAAATGTATAAACTCAATTGTTCACGATACAAGCACTATGGTGACGAAGAATGTTTGCAGAAGTACGAAGTCAAACTTAATAAAACTGACAGATCTGAAATACCCAACAGTGGTTTCTATCAACGAACATGTGCTACAAAGGATCAATGCAAGWASGTTTTTCAARAMTGCAAAATGGATGGAAAATCCTGCCAGGCTCAATGCTGTAAAACTGATTATTGTAACCTTTCTAGCAGTGTTGGTCGAAAGACGCTGAGCCTATGTCTACTGATTGGTGTAGCTGTTCATTCAGTCTTTTTAATGTTTTAATCAAAATCCCACTAGTCAATATAGATAATCGCCTGTGTTACGACTAGTGGAGAGGTGTCAGGTTTAACATTGTTTAATTCCATAGTTGGTATATRCAGAGGTCTGGAGTGGTCCTTAAGTATATAAGTAGTTTGAAGACCAACGATTTAATTTGCACAATGTAGTATGTATCAATAAATAAACAGTTACCGTATTTCAAAGCCACGCTTTTCATAATTCTATTGAAACGGAACGCATGAATTAAGGGACATGAGATGGGGGTGGATAAAAAACTGATTTTATGTGCTTAAAAGGGGGGTGGGGGCAACGTCAAGCGTGCAACGATTTGCGACAACTCTTTATTCACGGAGGGGGAGGGGGAGGGGGGGGGATCAGAACGTAATTTGTTTCGTTTGCGAGGGGTGGGGGTAGTAATTAACTTTTTTGATTTTTTGGCTCGTTCATTTTTTTGTAGCATCCCATATTGGTCTTTCCGAATAGTACCGAGTGAAAATCTAGATAGGAGCATGAAAAATAAACATAACTAGACTCAGCAACAATCTTCAGGGTAAACTGTTTAAATCGTTACACTGTTTCTGGGTTTGTTCCTTAGACTAATTTGTTTGTTGCGATCAGTCCACGCGTACTCTGTCCAGACTGCCCAGTTCGTGGACTTCTTTTGGAATAGTTTCAGCACCAGATTTGTGATGTTTTCGAAAGGTTAGCCGTTTGAGCGAAAGCCGCTGACGAGTAATTATTTTGAGAGACTTATTTTCGAGTGTTTTTCTATTTGTTTTCATAAGTGTTATTTTCCTAAGTCACATGGCAATTTCAACACTGGAAATGTTGTTATTGCGTTGACAACCTTTTCAAGTTCGGATTTATGTCGTTTAAATGACAATTTCAGCAAATGCTGACTGTCATACTGATAAATAGAATAGACATGGTTGATGTCAGGGCAAGTGCAACTGGTGTTTTCGATAGGTAACATATGACGGGACACGTCACGCGCACTTCAAGCTGCAGCAACATTTATTAATGTTATTACCTTGCTATACTTTTGTATGCTGATTTGAGACTGACCACCTTGTGTGAGGGGCTAAATTGGGTTATACAGTGAGCTAAATTGGGTCATACAGAGTAAGTACTCACAAAATATAATCATATACACACAAGCTATACAATATACAAGTGACAAGCTAACACGTTTTTGCACGATAGGTCGAGTTCACTTAGCGTCGGTGATCCAGCAAACTGTCTACAAGGGCCGTTTACCAAGATTTTCCACCAAGATTGTAGCAAAAAGTATTTAAAGATGAACGGATTCCATTTTTCCTTTCGTGTATGGCTTTTGTTTTGGTGTAGTACTTTGTTTTTCACCAAAGGTAAGGATATTTGGTTATTCATCTATATTCAAGGTCTATAACAAAGGACCTTTGACAAGAAACTGAGCCTTGCATGGTAGTGCATCTGAGTGATTAGAATTTAGCAAAAACGGAAACTTTTTTACACTTAATTTGGTAGTGTGAAACCGAATTACTTGTTTATACGATTTACAAAATGTAAATAAGTTGCCAGAATTTGATGATCTCTTTGTGGTTATTTTTGACAGGCATTTTATCTAAGAGCTTTGTCGAGTATGCATATTCAATCATAATAGTAATGGACTAAGAGTTCATTTCAACTGTAGCTAGAGTCTGTTCAATATTTTCCCGTGTAGTTTCAAAATCTAATGATAATGATAAAACAAGATAAAATTCATTTTATTCAAATAAGCTTAAAACTGACAAATTAAATAAACAAAAAGTCCTGCCAAATTTTTGGCTCTATTTAAAAGCCTTCTTCAAGGCATCATTCTATTCGATACTGTATACGTATTCAGCTTTTTGTAAAAGGTCATCAATAACGAGTCATCAATACTAATTTTTTTTAAAAAAATTGGCGGATTTAAGGAGTGGACRTTCACATTTCTTTTTTAGAYTGACTGAAAACCGGAGGTTTAAATTGTTCAACCCTAATACTAGTATCAAGCCTCACTAGTAATATTATGAAYATGTAACTATTTCATTTTGCTTAGTTTTCAGTATTCATTGCTACTATTGCCAGTCCACCGTATCTTGGGAACACTGCGACACTAGTCTGAATAAAGTGAATTGTTCACAATACTATCCCCGGGTTTCTTTTGATACCTGCGTGCAGCARTACGAAGTTCAAGTCAATAAAACCGGATCTAAAATACCCAACACTGATTACTATACACGAAAATGTGGTACAGAGAATCATTGCCAGGATGTATTTGGAGAGTGCGAGCGTCATGGACGACAATGCCAGTCTCAGTGCTGTGCAACTGATTATTGTAATAATGCAGTTTACAGTGCCGTTGATCGAAACACGCTAAGTGCATACCTACTCGTTGGTGTAGCTGTAATGCAGTACATTTGTTCTTTACTGTGTGGGTAAAGGCGAAGGTGATTTTCCGTAGTCATCAGTGTTCCACACTGATCAAGATGTATACATTAGTCTAATAGTATTGTTATTCTCTGACGGAAAAACGTCATAATTAAAGTAAGAAATACGTTTCCACGTAATATGCAATGTTATAAAAAGAACGTTTTGAAAATAATTTTGTTTATATGAGGTCGCTTGACATAAACTGAATGCATTCTCACAATCCCCAGTCCTTGATCCCCGAGGTTAGAATCATTTACTATTTCCTTTATTAGTGGTCCGTCAAAACTAACAATAACAATTATTTTGTTAAAAAAAACGAGTGAGTTAGCAAGAGCAAACTCCTCTTTCCTTTAAACGAAATAAGCCATGCCGTAAAAGCATTCTCTTTTAAAAAATGAGGCGAATTATAGGTTTATCGACGGTGATGTACAAGTTGATATCAATTACAAGATCGACATTCAAAAGATTTATTGCATTTTAAAATATTTCGGGGATTTTTTTGAATAATACTAAAAATAGCGATTGAAGTATGCTTACAAGCGTACTGGCTTTCTTCTATCATATTTAATTTGCTATTATAAATATTCTGAATTGTGATATGATAATAATCGGAATTAGAAATTACTAACGAGTCTATTATAAATGAAGATGAAGATAATTTTGTCCTTCGATAACTGATTCAATACTCAATTCTATCAGTTATTTATTTAATTATTTAAAGTGTGAAATGTGCTGGCCTGCCTGTGGCTGTGCTCTACCAATCGTTAGTTAGATCATGCTTCACTTAGTACCATTTTTTTGCTTCGCTGTCATTGGTCCGATATGATGCTTTGATACAAATCTATGACTTTTTTGAAATATTTAAGCGACCCGACTGTAACCCCCGTTCCCGTAACTTCCCGGCGTACAATAAGCTCCATATAATTCTAAAATGAAATGTTTTGCCCGCATTAGCCTTTCTTGTAGTTTTGTATATAATGATCTGAAGTACACACGGTTTCCCCGTGTATTTGCAATTGTATTTTATTGTTTAAGTTGTAAATAGCATCCATCATAGTGAACATCCCCACTTGTTTGTAAAGACTGGTAACTAAATTGCACGTTATTCCCAACTGTTCTGGGATCGTCTAGAGAAGTTTGTTTGGTTGTAGTACATTTGTTATTATGTCGGGATAAGGATTTATATCCTGTATTGGGATCAATCCATGGTTCAGTGTACCCATCACTATCTGCACTGTCTGATTCTTCCTCCCACACCTTAGATCGTGCATACCATCGGTTACTTTCCTTGTTTCTTGATGCCCCTTCAGAACAATGATGATCATTAGAAAAGCGATATATAAATGATAATATATTACAACAATCACACGAGCTTCGACAAACCTTTTCTCCTAGGGGGAGGTGCAGGAGGGGTCAGTTCTTCAAGAGATTGAGGCTTGCCAAACGTTTGATCCCGAAGTCCCTTAGCTAATCTTCCTGCAAAAGCGCAAATCGCCAAAAGTATGAGTAAAAATATATTTTTTGGGGATTTGACTCGTTTGTAATCATTATAAGAGAAATATATCCTTAATATACCACTAATCATGAAAATACTCTACTGGCTAAGAAACATGGCGAAGGGCACTAAAAATACCATAACTTTACCTTGAAGTGGCAAAGGAGGTGGTGGACAAGATGGCGGAGGTCTTAGATCGTCCAAAGACAGCGCATGACCAAATCGTTGTGTCAATAAAGAGTCGTGGACAGTGTTCCTGGATTGAAGTCCATCTGACGTGACCGCCGTTAATTTGCGGTGTTTTGGATCAGCTAAATGACAATCGGTTTTTAATTATAATCGGTTTTGTATTATAATGGTTGATACCAATCCCTAACAACCAACAAGTCATCAACCAAGGTCCCAAGAAACGTCCCAACCAACGTAACGGATCCGCGCACCAACGAACGAAAGCGCCACCCAACGCGCCACCCAGCGGACCAACCAACGCACCAACCAATACACTGTACCATACAAACGACCCAAGCAACGTAATAGCCGAAATACCAATAGTTCACCAACGAACGAAAGCACCACCCAACGTACCACCCAAAGGACCATCCAACGTGACGACCAACCAACGCATTAATTAATGCACTACCCAACGTACCACCCGACGGACCAAGCAACTTACCAACCAACGCACCAACCGACGGACCAACCAATGCACCACCCGACGGACCAAGCAACGTACCAASCAACGYACCAACCAATGCACCAACCAACKGACCAACCAACGCACHACCCGACTGACCAACCAACGCACCACCCGACTGACCAACCAACGCACCACCCGACTGATCAACCAACGCACCACCCGACTGACCAACCAACGCACCACCCGACGGACCAAGCAACGTACCAACCAACGCACCAACCAATGCACCGTACCAACCAATGAAACCAAAGTCCCAAGCAACATACCAGCAAATGTACCAACCGACGCACCAACGTTGGATCAACGGATCAACCAACGAACCAACCAATTCATTGCACCAACCAACATCCCAATTAAGCAACCGACTAACCGATGCACCAACCAGAATAAACCAACCAATGTAACTAGCTAACAGACCAACCAAACATATCACAAAAAGGCAATAGAGCTTACCAGATGGTGAGGGTGGAGGTGAATCAGTTGCCTTTGTGGGTTTCAATGCAGAAACAGCATAAAGATAAGTATGATCACTTTTTTCTTCATCTGCTATCACAACAGGATCTAGTTCAAGTTCTTTCGCTAAGTCTGTTACAATCCTTCTTGCCTGACCTGCACCTGAAAAGAATGACACCATTGACTGTGATTGACACGTGATCTACTGCAATCATATGAAATCCCTAAATGGGATGACACTGTGAAAAAGTACTACTTCAGTGATGCATGGCAATACATGCTGTACACCCTAACCAAACTCATTCAATAAGAATTTTATCATAAGATTAAATTAATAACAACTGAAAAAGGAGCAAAAAAAAAACAAAAAACGAGATCGCACAGCACTATAATGACATAACTTTTGAAGTTTTTTATTTTGATTGGGCATGTGGGACATGTGGGACATGTGTACCTGCTTCATATGATAAATTGGATTATAGTTGCAGCATTATGATTATTTACTGACCTTGAAAGATCTTCTCTTCAGATAGTTGCGTTGGGGTATCAGGTATTAGGTCTGCCAAGTCTTTGTATGCTGTACTCACTGATAAAGCTTGTTTAGCAAACTTTTCTATACTTTCAGATTTGAAATACAAAGCATCTTTTAACTTCTTTGCCTGGAAAAAGATCAAGATGATCAATTATATGCATGACTATAAATCATCAAATAATAATGATAATTTTATTACTAAAATGCGCAAATTTGCATAATGTGAATGTTAAAGTAGTAGGCTGCATTCGCATTTTCAATATATTACATAACTTTTAATAAGTAAAGATACAAATATATAATATTTGCTATTATATATTTTTTGCTTAATCTTTACCTTGAATATTTCATGTTTTGTAATTTTAACTTCCAATTCAGCATGTGATTCTTCAGATAAAGATAAAGTCTGGTAAAACATAATTTTTTCTTTAATTGGCTTATCTGCAAATCAATACTTTTATTCATCACACAGTAGAACAATTATTTCCTTACAATCTATCAAATTCATCCCACATTCATTGATGATCGAACATCATTCCTAAAATCACACTCACTTCATCTATTCTATGGACCTTGTCTATTTATATATGATTAAATCCATCATTTCTTCAACATTTTTGATTAAAAACATTTTCAGTAAAGATGAAATAACAAACCTCAGCCACCTCCTCAGATAATGCTTTCGATTTATTAATATCACTTTTCCTTTTATTCTGTTCTACCTACAGAAGAACCATGGAAATTAGCTTGGTATTTTATTATTTGATTATTCTGTTGTAATATAACATGTACCTGTTTTTGTAATTTGTTTAACTTTGAGGCATATTGTACTTCCCTTTTTCTCATGTCATCAAGAATTCGTTCCTCGCGTAAAATCTCTTTAAATGTTGATCTATATTGCACATGCTAAAGCCCAGAGGAAAAGAAATTTGTCAGAATACTTATGAATAAATAATATATGAATAATAAATTGAAGAAAGAATGATCATAACCTGCTCAATAGTTTGTTTAAAGACTTCAGCCCAAATGCTGCCCACTTCAACGACTTTGCTAAAAACATCTTCAAGAGCAATGTTTTCTTCTTGTCTTGCCCACTTGAGCAGAGATAATGATGCTGGTGATATCAGTATAGTTTAAGATAAATGATTCCAATGACTGACATAAATGATTTTAGAATAATAATGATCTTGAGTGAAGATTATTCATCATCATCATGATGAAACTTTGGGTAATGATGATAATTATAGCAATAATACTCATGACTTGCTCGCCCGTAATAGTACTCTTAACAAAATGATCAATAACTAAAACTTCACATGAAATAGCGATACCTAGTGTGACGTAAGCCTTTGTTATTCATGTGCCAACCAGAAGACGATTGGATGTTAGAACAAATTGACTTGTGAAAAGCCATTCTGAACATGGTTGGCACATTAACATAAGAATAAGTTTGTTGATAAACTTTGATCGCTATACGTAACAGTTACTTAATAACTAATATCAACTAACAAACGGTTTTAAAATAATTCAGTGGAGTGTTACCTTTGACACAATTTTTACTAGAGTATCAGCATAATATTATAAATAAAGCTTTTAATAATTGATCACTTCTACAATGGATAGTATGCAAATGATCCAGGAAACCCCGGAAATGTGATCTAACTATATCATATCGTAACAACTGTAAAACTTACTTCAAAGTTGCTGTTAATCCTAATATAGTCCCTAACTATGATAGTTCTTACTACATGGTAATGTTATGCGATATATCCAATCAAATAATTCTGTATAGCACCAATATTATCAATCATATCGCTAAGGGTTAAAAGAACTCCATTAGTGATCGTAAACGTACCATTTTGTTTTGAGTCCGTTAGCTTTCTTAGATTATGACAAACAATTTTCTCGTCAAATATCAAGAGACTTAGAAGGCTGTGGCTGTCCTTTGCGCTTATAATCGCTTTTTTTGCAGCTCGGCGTACTATTTTGGCCATTTTTACCGTGAATTACTTGTTGATTATAATTGTCGTCACCAGTCTACACTCGTCCAAAATAAAAAAAACAAGTTAAAACAGAGCCGCAAACTCACAGCTTTGCTTGGAATGAATGAAAAGGGAGAAAAATGCACAAATAAATATTGAAAGGGATAATAAACAGCAATTTCTAAATTTTGAGACTTTGGAATTGTCTCATTTCGACTCATTTCAAAGGCACAATTCGCGCGATATCCATATCGACCAATATCTAACGCAACCAAAACCGGAAATATCAATTTACGCCTCAAATCCCATCTCACTTCACAAAGCGGAAGTGATGAATCATTGAATCAATATTTTCGCAAGAATGAACTTTAGGTGCGCCGCGTATGCAAGGCTGAGAGCAGCAAAGTAAAGGAATGGAAATGGAAAGAACAGAAAAAAGAAAAGCAAGCCAGAAAATTAGAGGTGATAAAAAAGTGAAACAATGCAAGAACTTCATACTACTTTTATTTTATAATATCATCTTTACATTGATATAATATACAACTATTTCTCATTCAAAAGAGACTATCTTACATATTTTCATATTAAAAGTATGACGTGCTATGAAACTGCAAGAAGTAGAGATACCTAAAAAAAGAAAACGAGTAATTGAGTACATCGTTAAATAATATTATACTAACTCTGAGAAAAAAGCATTTTCAATTCAAACCATTGCTAAAAAGGATCGTAGTGCTTTAATACAATTGACCTGCATCCTATTGATTTCAACTAGAGCCTTTATCTCAATCAATGGAACTTGTTCACTGATGAAATACAAATATCCACCAACCTGTTGCATAGAGGGGCAGCCAATAATTTGTGTATCTTCTTCTGAATAAGTTTGCGTTACTAGTTCATTCATTTGCTTGTAGTAATCTTGCACTTTGGCCTGTTAGRAAAATACGAGCATTTGAAAAAAGTGATTTGAACATAATACCAATGGCATTTCTTACCTTGACAGGTTTAAAAAGAATATACTCTGTGTCCTTGTTGGCTAAAAATARTGACATGCTCTGTAATGTACTGGGAAGTTTGGATTTGATTAACATGTACGTCTCGCTGACCACTTTCCGAACGTTTTCTATACAAGACAAAGCAACGGCATTAGTCAGCATAACGGAAATAGAAACATTATGATAGATAAAATACCTGGCTTAGCAAAAGGTTGTTGCTTAAGAAATGCTTTGATATCCTTTCCTTCTTCTTCTGCCATTTTAACAACAACATCAACCTGATAAGACAGACATTGTTATAAATGTCTGCACAAGAAACACGTAGATAGACTAATGTGAACCAACCTTGGACAGCAGAGCCGACATGGGTGAAATGAGGGAATCAGAAACATGCTGAATGAACTTCTCGCACACAATTCGAAGTTCAATGTCAACTTCCTAAATGGAAATCAAATAGAAAAGCATAATAACAATTTTGCCGGGGAAACATTAAAATGAGAAAACAGTTATACAAACGTCGTAGTTTTCACCTTTTTTGAATCAAGATAGCTTTCAGTGAGTTGGGGAGCTCCCTGGAAACAAAACATGAATAGATAGAATGATGAAAGAGTACATGAAATTTGAATGAGAGGGATGAATGAACAGATGAACAAACAAACAAATGGATGGGATGGAACTGTGTTATGGGTAAAACTAACCTCTAGAAGAAACTCTAGAATAGCGTTATTACTACTAAGTGAAAACAGTTTGTTACTTTTGGACCACAAACCAAACGCTGCAGACTTCATCTTGCTGAAGTCTAATGAAACCTCTTTGATAGCAAAGTCTACATCAAATGGCGCTATTTGCTCCCGAAGTATAAGAAGGTGCTTGATGAAGAACAGGTAGCCATTGATAGGATCCTGCAAGAACGACAGTTTGAATGATATACTCGTCATGGTAGACACCTATGTGACAGAAAGGTGTGTGCAGTCCGCTATAAAACTATAAAGTTATTTTCAGTATTTTCTTTGAAAAGAGGACATATATTTATATTCGTAAGAACCGGGTGTCTGTAATAACGAGTTGATTGCAAAGCAAGACTTGTCTAGAGTTGTCTGTAATATGATTGTGGTTATGATTGCGGCTGATGATTGCAACAAAAACGTATTTTTACAGTCTAGCAACAAGAGTCTAAATATGGCGGTTTTTAATTTAGGTAGTTGCTTGATGCTAACCTTTCTCTTGGTAATAAGAGCACTAGCAATCTTAAGAGAACCAATACAAACAGACAAAGCTTCTTGGGATAGACCTTCAAACGTCTCTCTCTGGTGAAGATACACGTTAAATCAATCATTAAGAAACATATATATCATTATAATGTAAAGAGCAAGACTCACTGAGATACAGCGGTATAGTTTGGAGAGACAAACTAATGTCCTTCTTACTGTAGGATACCACATTCCCTGAAGATCTACAAGGGCTGCTGGAAGCTCTGGATACCAACAAATCATTTACATTTTAAGTGTTAAACACGAATAGTACTCTAGTATTGATACATTGACCGAATTGTAAATGGATGTGAACGTACATGAATGAGAAAATAAATGGGAAAAAGTGAAAGAGTGAATAATTGAAGAATGATAGAATGCCTACCAGGAGATGGTTTCTTAGGTGTACTGCTTGCATCTTTAGATTCAGGTTCATTTGTCTGAAAAATCATAACAATAATGACATAAATACATGTCAAGAAACTTTGATATTGTCAATGTTGCTATTCATTTCTTTTCTCGATATATATTGTATTTGTGGCAACACAACATTAGTACATTTCATAGCCAGTGCGTACCTCTACAATTAATTTCTCTGGGTAAGCAAGATCCCCTGGTGCAGGTGAGTATTTCCTGATATCTGACTCTATGTAAGCCTATATAGAAGACAACACGATATAATACTGTCTACAATTGTTAAGAAGTTCAATCATTTCAAATTGTTTCAACCTGTGCTCTGTAAACCAGTCTTTCTTGAACATCTTGAAGCATCTGGTCAACCACTGTCCCGAAAGCTGCCAGTTCGTCACCTGGAACAGACAAACAAACACTTAACACATTGTTATCAAACATTAAAAATATTTATTAGAAAAAATGGAAGACTAAAATTACTGACCTTTTTGCTGAACATGATCCTCTAGCATTTCAACCTGGAAAATGCAAAAGATTACAAAAATTCTTCATATACAATTATATGATCTGAATTACCTTCAATATTGAACACAATTCTGCTAATGTTTCCATGTGATTCATGTGAATGATTATTGGACGTAAACAGTCATACAGAGTACTGCTAAGGTTCTCAAGAAGGGTGCTGTCAAGTAACATAATCAAACATAAGGAAATGATGCTATATACATAGCAAATATCAAGGTTACAACAACTTACTCAACGCCAATGCTTGGTTTCGAGAAAAAGTGATAATAAAGTTGGTATTCATCTTGACAGACGTGGATTAAAACTGAACAACCTGCTCGCACCTGCAAAATATCCAATATTATCATTGCATATAGTATGCTATATGTTCTTTATCCACTCAAGTCATGACCTGACAAACAGTCATTGTTGTTATTGTACTGCAATCTCACCAGTGAGCAGGGATTTCTTGCATATTGTTTGGTTAATTTATCAACAGCATCAGCAACACATGGAGTGAGTAGTTGAAATCTCTGGTCAAAGTAACATTGCTGACAGTCACTCAGYAAGGAGGCATATCTATTATACATAAAATCCAATTCAACTACTGTAAATGCATGTAATGATAGCAATAGTAACAACAATAGCATTAACTATTATAAATTATAATAATTACTTACTCTGTGGTCATGTATGATCTTTGTTCAATTTGTTCCATTAGTGACTACCAGGAAAGTAAAAATCCCATTAAAGATAGGAATATTAAGAGAATGGGAAAGGAAAAGAGATTCACAAAATGAGCAAAAAGATGAAAAGAGAGATCATTTATGAACAGCATTGTGGGGATATAATGTACCTTGACTCTTGGTGCACAAGCTCTGAACTTCCCATAGAAGAGAGCAAAAGAATTCTCAGAGCTTGCCGCATCCTGATGAAAGTCACAAAGGTTAAAATATACTGTATAGTGTTATTGTATAACTAGCCTGTAATAAACACACCCTTGGTTTACCTTATTATTCAATACTTGGGTGGTAGCATTCTTTAAGAGTGTAATGACATGAGACTTAATGAGATGTAGAGACTGGTTTAGGCATTGCTTGAATTTTGTTAGGTAGACAGGAGACTCCTTGAAATGAGGCTGAAAAATACAAATTATAGAAAATCAATTACAGTCAAACAGAGAACTGCATAAACACAGCAATTAGACTTACATTACTTGAGATATATGAGATGCATTCGTCAAGTTGAGTTAAGAGAGGGATGAAGGATTCACTATTCACTGACAGTGTTGGTGAGTTTAATTTCTACAAAACAAAATTCAACTGTTAGCACGTTATTAAGGGAAACCCTTTTTGCATCAAACAGTATTTCACTTTGTTACCGTTCATCTCACCCCATTGCCAACTCGCCCCCACTATGCCATCTTGCCCCACCATCTCGCCCCTATATTATATTTCCGAAGATAAACTTATTCTTTCACTTACATGTTGGAGATGCTCAAGAGTGTTGAAATATGACAATTTATTGCTAATACTTTCAGCCATATTAACAAGTTTGGTCTGGAAAAGACAAATATCATTAAAAACAACATCAAAAAACAAACAAGTAAAAGATAAACACAAACATGATCATTATAGTTAGTGACCTGTGTTGAATAAATTCAATGCTTTAAGACATGGCACTAACTATATAGTCCTAACAAAGAGCCTTATCAAAAAGCTAATGAGCTATACTAATATAACATACAAAAATTAGTATGTATATGTACCTGATCATGAAGCAGTTGTTCACAAGCTTCATGCAATGCACCAGTTTTAGTTGAAACCAGAACATGTTTTAGCTGAAGCTCTTTGAGATGAGAGAGTGCAACTTCCACTTCACTGAGGATAGTATCACAGTGATCTCGATATGCTTTAAGTTGATTGGAATATGAGCTGAAAAAATAATATTTAGAGATGAATTTGAAATCCTTTGAGCAACAAATTATTTAATAAATACAGTACATTTGTACATGAATATGTATGTTTTGGAAATTGATTATACAACCCTGTCCTATATCATGCACTGATCTACGGTGCCAGGGCCTCAATGTTGTATGTTGATCAGTACTGCTGCACTTACCGATAGGAAGACTCTTGTTCTTCTTCCATTTGAGTTTCTACTTGTGCAAACCATGTGAAGAACTAAACATCACAAAAGTTGCAAACAACACTTAAAAATACTTGTCGCCAAAAAAAATGTGGAATTTTTAAAAGCAATATCAATATTCGTAAAGAGATTCCAGTCATTTTGTCTTGACATGCATCCATTTACCTGCTGTGCATTTTCGATCTTTTCTTGTCCAAGATCAAGATGTGCTATATCTAACTGTACTTGTTTACTGCTGTCACTCAGTATACGTTTGGTTGGAATATTAGTGTAATCGTCAACTGGGAGCTAGAAATGGAATAGAAATTCTCATATAAAAAAAGCTTAAGCTTAATTTTTCTTGCATATAGGATACAAAACAAAACGTTTGTTGTAGTACTTGTCAAGTTACAAATTATCTAGCAAACATCATTACACTCATTCATAGTAATCACTATAAATTTTCGATACATTTCAATATTTAACAAAATAGGTTTTCAAATATCAAGAAAAATAGTTAATAACTTTATGCAGATGGTCTTATTGACACGTCAAACCAAACTGATGTTTGGAATTACCTCCGAAGGAATCGCCCTATTTGATGACACAGCCGTAAGCTCTGCTACACTATTTTTCTGAGCTTCAGTAAGAGGAGCAAGGCAGTTTTCTTTACCATCCCACAAACTTAGTTTTTCACGAATTTCTTTCGACAAAGTAGAATGATGGACGGCCGCCATCTTGGCCTCGAAAAGCACTGTGGGTAATAAGTCTGTCAAGTCAAGTCAGCGGTGATACATAAAATTCAAAATGGCTGCCGACATCGCTTTTTTAGTGAGCTCATATTTGGACGGTAACAAACCCACAAATTTGAGTATTTCAACTTTATTAGAGGCAGTTTCAGAAACCCAAAGTCTTCAAGGAAGTGTGAGTGAAATTTTCTATCAACAAATAATTATTCTCCAAGTGTCGCGGCCACGTGCACAACCAAGATGGAGCTTTTCCACTTTTTTAGCTTAATTATTATTCTTTGACGTAACTAATATTTCATTTCAGGGATGTACTAAAGAATGGATAGGAAAGCTGAATAGCTTGCTGAATTCTAATAATGACAGGTATTCTTACATATTTGAATAATATCTCTTATCATCTCAAGTTTGTTCCCATCCATTTCCCATGTATCAATCCACCTCCCATTCTTTCGTTCTTTTTCCTTTTTTCTCCTCCCAATCATGTCGTGTTTTGTATTATTYCCTTCTATCAGCCTTTTTTGTTTGATTGATATATTTTGATTGTGTTTTATTAGGTGGTTAGGCATAGCCTTGCTTGGACCGACCCTACAACAGTGCAATACAGATGTGTTTACTGCTAACTGTATATCATGGATGAAAGTTTTGCAGCACATTTTAGAGGTAGCYAAACTTTTGAGAGAAGAGAAATATGAAATATAAAGATTGATAACAAACCTATATCAGCTGGAAACACAAGCTTGTATTYTTTACTTCTTTTTTTCTTCAATGATTCCATCATTGAGCACCATTCATTTTTATAGTTGCCAACATCGTCTCTCAGTTTGATTCAAACTTCTGTCACGATATTGGATGACCTAATGAGATATACAACACAGGTATGTAATATATTTTAATTAGATTTACTCAATGCAGCATCTTGGTTTGATATTGCTACATTTGCACTTATGTACAAATTATCCAATAAACTTTGCTTTTCTTATAATTACTATGTAGTTTCCAGAGTTAATGAGAAATACTTCCAACTCTACCATTCCAGCAATACTTTCAGCACTTTTGTCACTTCAAGGAAAGGTATTTTTAAATGACTTACACAAGACTATGGAATATAGCAATAAGAATGTTGATTACCATTATAATTAATATAATGATGCTTCTGTAATATGATTGTTAATGTCTCATTGTTTTAGGACACTGTTTGCTCATTGGTTGGTATTTGTGCATGTCTGAAATATTTTCCTGGACCATCTTCACAGTTTAAGGTTTGTTATCAAACTGAAAGGCACCTTATTTGTATTTTTATAAAATGGCCTTATTATTATTTGTTAGTTAATTATAGTTAATTTTAGGCATCATTGCTTTTTAGACCCAAATTGAAGACTATTTGATATCATGCTTGGATAGAAATAGTCCAAACATCAGGAAGGTAATGACCTTTTCAAAATAGGTTATTTAATTCATTGTATCATTTCTATATTTGTTCCTACTACTGGTATATATAAATCATTCATAAGGAAAATTTCCTTACAGTATACTGTTTAATACAATTATTCACTTTTACAGTATTGTGCACAGTGTTTTGCTCTTGTTGCTGGTTTGAGCAATAATCAAAATGACAAGCAAAAAAAGAACTGGGACTTGCAGTGGTACAGAGTGGTTGGTACACTCAATGTTACTTTAGACATTTTACATGCTTATGAAAGCACCACATCAGAAATCAAAATTATTGGTTAGTATTGATTGTAATTTATTGAATTCCGCCTTTTTTATCCTTTTCTCTTTTTCCCCATTACATTTTATTTGTCCTTTCTCCTTGATATCATAGTTGCATTTGCTTACAAGATAGTATCATCTTTCTGTATATCCCTCTATGATTATATATATCACACTTGAGTTTTCTTCTTTTTTTAACATTAGAAACACTTCCTGTTAAAACTATTGAAACTGATGAGCCTAAAAAAACCAACACATGTACATCTAGACTGAGATCACTGTTGAAATGTCTTGATGCAATGATCAGGTATAGCTATCAACCATATCTGTACTATTATGATCAAAAGCATGTGAGCATTAGACTTCAGTTTATATATTAAGGATTCAAACATGGCATAGGGTATCAATAGATAATTCCAATTTTTAACTATTATTTTGTTTGTCTCTTATCAAGACAAGGGTCAAGAAGAGTAAGCATGGTTCCATTAGATATTACTATAGCATTACTGGAAAGAGTATTATCATTAAATGGAAAGATGCTTGTAAGTATAAAGTTTGGTCAATAAATAAAATAAGTATTGCTTTGAAAACCCACACAAATACAGCTAGAATTACAACTGACTTTAGTCATCAAATGAAAACTTGGAGCTGATGTTCCTGATAAAAAGAAAACTGCAAGATTTAACTTTCCAATCACTGCTAAGTAGTAGCAGTCATGTATCTTTTCAGAAATGTCTTTTTGAGTGAAAGTTTTTGCCCTTTATTTCAGAGAGGAAGTATTTCAGTGGATAATGTTCTCTTGCAAGGCTGCCTACCACTCATCCATTTAGATGCTGTACATCTGTTGTGCTCACTTGTACAAAGATGTGGCAGTCTTTTGCTACCAAATGCAAACAGGATTGCTAAACTGATGGTCAATGAACTCTCTTGGATGTCAGATAAGCACTTGAATGCTTCACAGAATGGCTCAATAAAGCCATATAGGTAAAATATATATAATGTATGTAATTTGAAAGTATTGTCTGCTTCCTTTACAAAATTCTACTTGTATTCTATTTATTTATCAATTATTGTATGTGGTGGGTTTTTTTTTTGAATTTTTTTGATGCTTTTGATTAATATTGACACATTGTTTATGTATTTAGTAACCTTAGCTGTGCAGTGTATGACTGTATTCTACACTGGGGGCAGCTCAATGCTGGTTTTCATGAAGATGTTATCAAAGATATAACTAGATATTTGCTGAAAGAGATAAAAGTTGGTAAAAACATTGAAACCAAGGTACACTTCATTTTCTCATCAAGTCAGTCAGTATTTCTGTCTGTCTGTTTGAACATCTGGCTTTTTTCTATCTTCTTAGCTCAGAGCTGCATCAGCAGAAGGAAACAAGCAAAAAGGACTGTCAAAAAAGGTATCTCAATATGTTTCATTTTCTTTTGTGGTTTAATTTATTGAGGTAATTATTTGATTAGTAATAATATGATATTAAAGTGTATATTTTTGATTGTTTTAGGGAAAGAAGAGGAAGATGCAAGCTGAGATTGAACAGTTAAGCACAAGTATGGTTATCTAAGTTACTGACATGATCTGTTTATTTTGTTGTTTGTTCTTACATATTGTACTAATTATTACCAGATCCTGAAAAGAGTGATGTATATTGCAATGAAAAACTTTGCCATGCAGCTCTTACTAGTAAGCCACCTGATATTGTGCATACCAGTTTTATTCAAGCCAAATATTTCATATATTTTCTTAAATCTTGTTTGTTTGAGTCAATGATATTTTGAGTGGAATCTAGTCTGCCTGCCCATAATGGTAATATTATTATTTTACTACCTTTGACTATAATGAAGTTTATATCAACAGCTTTATTCAGTGTCATGATGAATTTTGGTGACAACATGAAAAAAGGAACATTTCAGGTAAGAAGTAACTCCATCAAAAATACAGCTTACTGACAGTAGAGTAGCAGCCAGCTGGTAAGCCATGGACTTGGCCAGTAATAATACATTTCACTGGTATTTTGATTATTACAGGAGATACAATTGACATTGCTAGAGGTTGTTAGTCTATTCCAGCCATCCTCACAAGGTGTCTTTCCACAACCTTACAATAGTCCTGATTGTCGTAAGGAGATCTATCATTGTTTGCTTGGATGTGTGCTGTCAAGGCCATCAGGTGCTCCTAATGCTATCAGCTGTGTTATTAAATATCTTAATGATGGCTTACAGGACATGAGTTTCCAGGTAATAGAGACTTGACATAATGTGGTGTTTACTTGAAAAAACACACAATGAATTAGTCACCTTATAAATACATGTACATGATACTGAAAAGTAATGTTAATATTGGATGATGACGGTAATTATGATATAATTAATGTTGAAATGTTGATGATAGCAATGACCTAGTATGTGACTGGTATCAATAATTATGATGTCGGTGATGAGAAATGATGGTAAAATAGTATTGTTTCAATCATTAGTACTAATAAGTTCTTTATAACAATATTCAGGTGTCAAATTACTGCAGAGAAGCATTAACCATCACTACTGCATTGATACATCCAGTTGTACCATCAATTGAAGTCRCAACAAAGTCYTTGATATTCACAAACCATGTGGTTCAAGAAATATCAGCTGCAAGTCATCATGAACAAATCATTGTTGAAGCCTCAGAAAGATTAGAAGAGGAGAAGAGACAAATGCTGAGCGATTCCATTCAAGATGTTCAAATAAGTCAAAAAACCTTAGATTCAAATCACAATCAGCGTCTTCAAGAAGACAACTCTCCATTTTCAAAAAAACCTCAATCAGTTGCTCAAAAGACAATAAATGAGCAAACTCTACAGACTAATATTAGGGATTCCTCAATAATTGAGCAAAACATTGAAAACTCTTCCTATCAATCAAGCACAGAGTCAAACAAAAACAGTGTTATACATGTGGATTGTAGCAACAGCATGTCAAGTAAACAGACTGAAACAAATGAACAAAAGTTACACAGAACAAGTCAAGTTTCATTAGGATCTGAACTTCCTGGAACTTCCTCTTTGAATATCGATCTTAATTGTCGTGATGGTATGGTAGATGATAATAGTGGAACAATTGACGAGATCATCCCTGTAAAGAGAGCCAAAATCAACCCAGATGTCTACCATAGTGTAGGTGACAAGGCAAAGACAGCTAGTGATACGCAAATGGACAAACAACAGCAGGAAATTCAGGTGAATATCATTGTTTTTTTGTAGAAGTGTCTGTAGTTATTGTTGCTCTCAGCTCAGTTTATTTCAGTCAGTTGTGATTATTATTTGTTGATGTGATAATATGTCTTTTGAATACTATCTATTGAAAAGGGTTTTGTACAGTATTTTACTATCATTGTAATTCTTTATAACTCTTATTGTAGGATACTGATGATGTGAGTGAGATGATTGCTTCTTTTGTTAATTCTTCACCTGACTCTGATTAATTCAAATAAAACGAATTGAGGTACACTCTTTGATCTCGATGCAATGATTCTCCATTTGCCTTGCTCTATGTTGACTGTATGGTTTCATTAATTATTTCCATTTCCTTCTTCAATACTTTTCATGCTTTGTTGTGCAACAATTCTGTCAGCACAAAATTTGGGGTAATTTCAGAAAAGTGATTTTATTTCAATTATTTAAAGTTTTTTTTATACAAATATCAATGATAATAACTTTTTGTAAAGCGTACAGTGTAACTGCCATATTGAGGTATTTTTTGTTCTGGTCAATAATTCATGAAATCTATAATCGGTAGGGCGTGGCAATCACGTGCTTGACCGCGTAATATATTGTTGATTATTTATATTACAATTTATTTGACAAACGTTTTTCTATACCACTCCCTGCAACTAAAGACGGATCGTGTTGAATTGATGAGTATTTTATAACATTGTTCACATCCATTTTAGATATGATTCCAAGTAGAGATTAGAAGATATGAAATACTGTTTCCAAAATTGCAAATGATTATGAGTCTCTTTTTTACTGGGATACCCAGTTCTTCACATAGTTTGACATCATTCATACAGGCCGAGCCTGAGAGTGACTGAGGCTTGGTCCCTGGTGATAATCGTTTTCTTTTGCTAAACTTTTCCTGGGCATCGCGTCTCCTCCTCCGCTTGCTCCTTTAGAGTCGTTGACTTGGACGTTTTGATAGAGACATTCGGCGATGTTGATGTAATCCTGTCATTATACATGAACAAATTCATAGACGATTAGAATTCATGGATTGCAGGTTTAAGATTTTGTHACGAAGTCTATTGTCGCCTTTTTGTCATTTCATTGTTGTGTCAGTTCAGCGATTTCACTTACCTTGGACTGGGCGTCTTCAAGCCCAATAAGCATCTCTTTCAACTCCGGAAAGGTTGGTCTTTCATCTGGTATTTTATTCCAGCAACGGAGCATCAMATTGTATCTAAGTGGATATAACATGGTTCTATCAGTATTGTACCTATCCATCATCACCATTGATACCAATGCAGGGGACGGATCTAGGATTTTCTTCATGGAGGGGTACAAAGGAGAAAGAATGTAAGATTTTGTACAAGAGGGAGTTCATTTATGTACCTCAACAATGACATACCCTGATGAATATAGAAACAAAAGTTATGGAAATATCTTAGAACATATCTTACACGATAGCGTCTACGTGACTTGGGCGTGGCATACGGTAGCCTCTTTCTATTCGGTCAGGAATTTCCTTACCCACTATTCCAGGGTATGGATCAGAACCTGTTTAGATAAAAACATACTGRATAAGTTTTCCAAAGACATATGATCATCTAGATCTTTTCACCACTTACCGATCGTGCAGATTTCGTACAATACAATACCAAAACTCCACCTATCATAACAGAGAGAACTAAAGTTTGAACAAATATCCTGACAAGAGTGGGGAGAGTATGAGGTTGCCAAAGTCCTAACCATTATGGTCTAGATCTTTTACCTATATTACTTTTGGCTTGTTACTTACACATCACTTTGTGTGGTATATTCCCCACTTCCAGTTAGTGCTTCAATGGCGGTCCATTTGACTGGTAGTCGACCCTATGACARCAAACAATCAACACACTTGTTTGCATTTTTCTACAATAGTTTGTCTAGCAGTGTATTCTTTCTTTACCTGCAGCTCGCATGTTAGTATGATTGAGTGTTTGTGGACGCAGGTACATTGTGTAATTTAGGAACAGTTTCTCACCTCGGTAGTACGTACGTATATATCATCGTTACTAACGTCTTTGGCCATTCCAAAGTCTGTTATTTTACAAGCAAGACCTTCTCCAACCAAAACGTTACGAGCAGCCAAATCGCGGTGAATTATCTGGTTCAAGACAATCAGAATATAAGTTTTATTTGACTA